CAATAATGTCAAATACTTGAATGCTTAAGTAGTTTTAATTATAAAGATCAGAAATTTTCTGACATTCTGCCAAACCTTTTGTAGAAACATTAAATCCAAATCTCAGCAGGAATCTGAATAAGCAGTTGTCATTTCTTCAGGTTTTGTTATTGGCAGCTAAGTCAAACTAATAAACATTAGCCAGATTTTCTTTAAACTTTCTCTATGCATATCTATCTACTCATCCAGTTGAAATTTCCTAATTATAACAACATAATTATATATATACTGGAAAAATCCATATTAACAAAGTTGGAAAGGATTTGTTCAGAGGCATTTTGTTTTCAAAACGAGTATCACATTTTTTAATATGTTGCAATAATTTCTGAAGATCAACACAGAAACAGGGTTTAATTTGTAAAACCTGTGATGTCAGCATTAAAAACAAAAAACTACATTTCCATCTTATTGCTACTTTTGGGATAGTTTCCAAGTTTTTTGGTCTTTTAAATACAGACATCACTAACCCATTTTTAAGTGGGCTGAAACCCCCTTCAATCATTTCATCTTTTTTCTTTTTTGTGTATATTCCCTTTAATGAATCAAAGATTAAGTTTTAAGTTCCCGATCAAAGAAGTATAATGATTCCTAGAATTCTGCACAACAGCTTTTTCAATATGCAACAATTTGTTTCGTATTACAGCCAGCATTTTAAAACAATAAAGCCTATTGCTTGGTAAACTGCCAGTCACACCTGAATCTGACTCGTAACTATCTGTTCTATGGAAAGAAAAATAAGGAAATAGCTGTTCCCACACCTTTATTTATAACAACAGCAAAATCTGGTGACTTACAACCAATTCCAGTTTTCCTTTACTCTACAATATGCCTGCCATCTTTCTATAAAAGATACACCTTCAAAACTTTATGTCTAATGATGACCCTGTATTAAAATATTCCATAAATTAATTCTTTCTGATTTCAAAATTCTTACAAATGTTACATTTTCAAACCAAATTTCTATCCTTTTGATTCAGTTTCCATTTATTCATCTGCTTGCTTATCAACTACTTCTTGTGAAATGAACCAATTTCCTACATACCTGAATAGAAGCAGCAATTTCTGCACCAAATCCAGAAGTCAGAGGAGCCTCGTGAGCAATGAGAAGTCGTCCTGTCTTCGTGACAGACTAAAAAAATATACAACATATTTCTTCTTTAACAAACATAAAATGTTTGATCGTTTATTTTTTTGTATGAACAATATATATCTATTGAATTACTGATTTTTTTATTGCTTGTCAGAAACATTTCTTTCCTTTGACAACTACTACACTGTTTTGCAATGAATTGTAAATACTCCAGCTTTCATGATAACACACTCATCAACTTTTGCACATAGTGATAGAAGTTCACATCAACACACATCGGTACTACTACCTCATAGTTTTCATCAACAAATGTCAGTATTAATAGTGCTGTGACATATGAAGTTTTCATCAACAAATATCAGTACTACTTCCTCACATTGCAGTGATAGAAGTTCACATTAACAAATGTCAGTTATACTTCCTTACTGTGCTGTGACAGAAGTACACATCAACAAATGTCAATAATACTTCCTCATAGTGCTGGTGCAGAATAGGTTCACATCAACAAATGTCAGTAATACTTCCTCATAAAGCTGGTGCAGAATAGGTTCACATCAACAAATGTTAGTTCTATCTCATCACTATACATTATTTCCTGTGAATACGTTTTTGACAGTAAATATATCATAGTAGAAAGATTTCACACCAGATACAAACCTTTGATTTTTAATTACTGATTAAGTCAATAAATATACTGTGAAAGTGTTATACAAGGAAAATATTGAATGAATAAAGTATAAAAATCAGGCTGTTAAAAGATGTAAATTCATCATGTGTTACTTATATTAACTGTTTGTATTAAAAAATCACTTGAAATTACTAACACAAGACCTTAAAAACAATGTGACACTAACAAATTCTTTAACACAAAACCATTCAATGTCACATTATCAATAATTCTTTAACACAATATCGCATGATGTAATAATGCTAATGTTACTTCTATGACACAAAACCACAGCAATTGCAAAGAATTCTGTGTAGACATCCACTAACAAAGGACAGGATGTTCTTCATTATTATTCTCATCATTCTTCACACTTCTGAGTCATTTTAGAGTACTTATTTGACATTTGAATTGAATGTTTGGATTTTATTGTATGTTGTAATTTCTCTTGAGTTTCAGATATTCTTCAATTTAAGGAAACTTACTCTAGATTTACTGATTGTTGCTGTCACATGTTTGTCAGTGCTGCCCTGCTTGTTGATCACACTGCCTAGTTAAATGAAGGAGCCTATTTTCTCAACAATTTCACTCCAAATGTTACTGTGTTGTTACTACTGGTGTTGATTTTAAGAAACTTTGTTTTGCCTTTAAGGTTGATTAGTCCAGTTTAAGTTGATATAGTTTCCAGACACTTTGTTTTCTCCTGAATTTGGTTGTGGCCGTGTGATTGGAAAGCCAAGCCATAGGCAAAACCTAAGTCTTCCATTTGTGTCCTCTGGGTGTCGTTTTTTCTGCCTTCATTGGTTCTCTTCATGATCAAGTTGATCACTAGTAGAAAGAGAAAGGGCAATAATAGGTAATCCTGCCTTACTCCTGTCTTTACCTGAAAGCTAAGGATGAGTTGTGCTCCATGTACCAGACTGCAGGACATTCCTTCATACAACTTCTGGATTTGGGTAATAAACTTCTCTAGCTGGTATACTATAATGTTTTACCAATTTCCAGAGGGCTTTCCTGTCCATGCTATCAAATGCCTTTCCATAGTCAACAAAGTTGAAATGCAGGTATGAACACCACTTGATGGGCTTAAGTAAGTTAATACACAACCACTTGATGTAATGCTAATGTTATTTCTTTAACATAAAACCACACAATGTGACACGCTAATTCTTTAATACTATCAATACCAAATACAATGACAGTAATGTCAATTCCTTAATATAATATCAAACAATATTAATGATTCAACACAATACCATATAATTGTTTGTTTTTTGTTTTTGAATTTCGCGCAAAGCTACACAAGGGCTACCTGCACTAGCTGTCCCTAATTTAGCAGTGTAAGACTAGAGGGATAACTAGTATAAGGCCCCCATTGGCTGAAAGGGCAAGCATGTTTGGTGAAACAGGTATTCGAACCCACGACTCTCAGATTGCGAGTCGAGCGCCCTAATCACCATATAATTGATTCTTAATATTAATTTTGAAACACAATACTGCTTAAAGCAGCTCTAATAAAACACTACGCTTTTGGTAACTTGCTCACAAAGGTCTTATTAAATAATAAGTTGATATTGAAATAAAAGTGAAAAAATGTATTTTATAATGATGTACGATAAATTCTTATCATTCATATAGTAATGCTATGTAATATCGACAACCTTCATTTAAGTATCCTAAAGTGTTCTTTTATTGCAAAACATTAGGTTATTCGATCATGATGGGAAAAATAATATTTGACAGGATTAACAAACTGTATTAAGTTTTTTAACTCTTTCATTTTTTGAAAAGACTTGGCCATCAGTTAAACAAATATAATAGATGTAGTTTGATTATAATTCTTTTTTTTTAAATTGCATCACATTTTAGTCGAAAGGAATGAAAAAGAAGTACCTTGGCAATGGTGTCTTTATCCCAAGGTAAAATGGACACCAAGTCTATCAATTCACATGAAACATTCAGCTTATCCTGGGCTAGCTGGCAAACTTCTTTCAAAACATGAACTTGTGTTCCCCAGCCAACGAGGGTTACATGATCACCTGAAGAAGTTTTAAATATCATAATGAAATAACCTTTACTCCAAGTTAGCGCTTAAAAATGACTTCCTTAGGGGGTAAAATAACATTTACATTTTATAAATGTTACTACAATCTTATAAAAAACATTTTATGTAAATCAGTTTAAATATGTCTGATTAAGAATACAAGTTTCTCTACAAAACTTCATTTTAAAGAAATAGTATAGGAGACTTTTCCAAATTATAAAAAAATGCTCTTATAACTTTAAAAGGATTTCACATAAAATACAGAATAGCCTTCCATAATCTTAATTTTTTTTAACATAATGTGAATATGTAGCCTTTTCATTATAAAGATTATTTCATTAGTAATAATGACAGGTTAAAACATAAATTCATGAAGTTACAAGGTTTGACACACACAATTTGTTACTGTGGCATGACAATGAAATAAATACCAGAAAAAAAAACAAGTAACCAAAGCATATTCACAAAGTGGGCTTTCTTTCATCAGGAGGTAAATGGCTCAAGTTATTGGTTTATTTTCGAATACTAATTTGTTTTCTAAATGAGTTCTTTTGGAAAGTGGAATTTATCAGGAGTAAATAGCTTGGATTATTGGTGTTTCTTTTCTATTATAACTTTTTTCTGCTGATCCTGGATGTTTTTGAATGATGTAGATATATAAACCATTATGATCTATTAAACAACCATTAGAATTTAGAACCACATAACACAGAAGGGAAGCATTGTAAGTCATTAACAAAGCATGATTACTGGTTACAATTCAGCTAGTCTTCTTGAAACTTTTTGTGCATACAACACGTGTACTGAACAAAGGAATTACATCTTACCTTCTTGAATAACTTCAGCTTTACCAAGTGGAATTTCATAGTCTTTTAATGGAACCTGTTCCACAGCCAATCGATACAAAATTTTAGGTTCAAAGAAGATGCATGGGTTTTTGTCTCGAATGCAACTAAGCAAGAGTCCTTTAGCTTGTATGGGGCCTCTTGGAATTACTACCTGTACAGGAAACACATCAATTACTTCATTACAATTTAAAAATCATTTATTTAATTTTTTCTCAATGACAATTTCTTAGGCTCAAGAAGACTATTTGAGACACTAAAATAACACAGAGCTCTTCATGTGTAGCTAGCAATCTAATCATCTGCTGCTCAAAATTCAAGTAGAATCTAAAAAAATATTTTCTTATGGTAGTATGCCTACAGCATTTGTTTTCATTACCAATGAAATTATTCAATAAAATATGTTTTCAGGCCTTCAGAGTGTCTGCTACTGCCGGCCTTTAAAATAAAAGATAAAATTTGACATGTTAGAGGCTGAAATTGGCTGGAATATGGACTATTTTTAGTAAAATCTATCTTGCAGAGGTTCTATATTAGAGCTGATTAAGTCCTAAACAATCAATTATGAATACATATTTCAAACACAGTTGTTTCCCCACTTTCTAACTAACAATTGAAGATAATATTTCTCACCTCATAACTGTGAATGTTTCATTGAACACAATAAGTATCTGCTTCAGGAGATATGTGTGAAAGCTACAACTGAGGACTGAATTTTACATGAAAAGCAAACATATATTTTTATAGGTAGAAACAATTAAAATAGGCTTATACATGTCTGAGCATTCCAGGCTCTTTGAGCCATTAACTCTTTCAGCACGGATTCGGTCCCTGGGACTGACCTTGTAACCATTTTGTGCTTGTTATAGTTTTCATGCTATAACTTTTAAATTAGTAAGCAAATGTTAATGAAATTTGGCAGATTATCGGTAAACATTACAATGCTTTCATACGCAAAATATAAAATTTTTTTGTTAAGTCTTAAAGTTTGTAAAGAAGTGTTTTTCTCATGTCTTTTTTTTCTTTTCGCATGTTGCCTATCTATCATGTAAAGTAATATTAAAAATACTTTTATGGATCAGATAGTTATCAAACATTTCTTAAGAAAAACTTTATAT